AGTACCTTGCAGTTAAATACTAAAAACTATTGTTATGATACAGGCACTTTCAGTTAAATACTAAAAATATTGTTATGATACAGGCACTTTCAGTTAAATACTAAAAATAATTATTATAGTACCTTGCAGTTAAATACTAAAAATATTGTTATGATACAGGCACTTCAGTTAAATACTAAAAATATTGTTATGATACAGGCACTTTCAGTTAAATACTAAAAATAATTATTATAGTACTTTACAGTTAAATACTAAAAATAATTATTAGTACCTTGCAGTTAAATACTAAAAATATTGTTATGATACAGGCACTTTCAGTTAAATACTAAAAATAATTATTATAGTACCTTGCAGTTAAATACTAAAAATTACTATTATAATACAGACGCTTGTAGTTAAATACTAAAATAATAGGAGTACAGGAGGTAAATTTGGATTCCATAATCTGGTAAGGACTAGTACTAGTATCATCCGGTGCTATAATATGATAATACTAGTGTCATCCAGATGGTATAATATTATAGTACTAGTGTTATCCGGTGCTATGATATGATAATACTAGTGTCATCCAGATGGTATAATATTATAGTACTAGTATCATCATATTATAGCACCGGATAGTACTATAATATTATACCATCTGGATGACACTAGTATTATCATATTATAGCACTAGATAACACTATGTACTATAATATTATACCATCTGGATGACACCAGTATTATCATATCATAGCACCGGATAAAACTAGTACTATAATATTATACCATCTGGATGACACTAGTATTTAATACTAGTGTCATCCAGATGGTATAATATTATAGAAAACTAGTACTATAATATTATCATATTATAGCACCGGATAATACTAGTGTCATCCAAACTAGTACTATAATATTATACCATCATCCGGTGCTATAATATGATAATACTAGTGTCATCCAGATGGTATAATATTATAGTACTAGTGTTATCCAGTGCTATAATATGATAATACTAGTGTCATCCAGATGGTATAATATTATAGTACTAGTTATCCGGTGCTATAATATGATAATACTAGTGTCATCCAGATGGTATAATATTATAGTACTAGTGTTATCCAGTTACTATGATATCATGTTACAATATCAACTGCTATAATATCATAGTATTTAGACGACAACAGACCGTGAAATCAGAATCCACCTGCTGTATATATATTTTAACACGTCCCTCAGGAGCCAAGGGGTGTCTTTACACTACAATTTGTTAAATATTAAAAGTAAGTTCAATCTGGAAATTCCCAGAGAGAGTGGTTTTGGACGTATCTTTTTGAGACAAGTTTTCGTTTGTTAATTGATAAATATTTAAGTGAAATACAGCATCCTCAAGTCTCCATACTAGCTAGTACTAAGGTCTACCTTCAGGGAGTAAATTCAGTATATATCAATAAAGCCACATTCTCAGCATCATTAATTAAACAATTTCCAACCTTTCATGCTTCTGCTATCACCTTTTTATTTCTAGCTCTCAATTGAGATACGAACGATTTCACCTGCGATTCGGTATGGAAAGTCGAAGCATCATGATAGTCAGCAGTATGATGAGCAGACAGGAACACTTTGAAAGCAGCTACAGACATAATATTGTACTCGGCTTGCTGCACAATATCTACTAAGGTGGTTCTAAACTGTTCCTGAATACCTCTGTGTGTCATTTGGAGACTATCATGCTTCTTGTGCTTGGCTGTTAAGCTCGTGATGTGCCGACGGATTTCAGTCACCTTCCCACTTCAACTCATTTTTCGCAACCCCTTCTTTTTAGCCAATATACATGTCCAACAAATATCAGTCCAAATAAAGAAAAACCGGATTGAGTAGTTTTGTTGTTGTTGTTGTTTTCCAACAACAACAAAAAAATATCCCCCACTGGCTCGTGAGGGGCCTGTTAATATTTAACTGTAAGCGAACCCTGTTTGGTATATGATCTGACCAACATTATTTTTTTGTTTCTGTAATTCATCGGTTCTACGAGTTACTATAAGATATTTGTTTGTCCATACTTAGGTCTTTCAATACACTCACAGGAGCGAGAGTAAACATATATTCCGTTCGTCCTCACAACGATAGTCAAGTCAGGTATTTCCGGTTTATTCCTGGATTTATATCACGATATTTTTCCTTTTTTTTTCTGTACAGTTCGCAGTTAAAAGTCCAGTCACTATAGTAATATAACACCAATGATGTGATTCTGTGAGTGAAAGTGTTGCTTGAAGAATGCTTTATAAAATAATAACGACAGCTTTGTAGTGCAGATATTGTATTATTTGTAATTATACGTTAATTGTAACTATGTGTGAAATGACTGCATTTGTAACTTAGGGTTACAAAACAAACAAACAATATTTATAATTACAACACAAATATATACATAAAAAACAAAGAAATCGAATATACAAATATAACACGAAAAAATGTAAACTTGGGCACAAGTGAAATAGATAAAATAGGTTTAACTCCAGTGAAGACTGTGTATTCGATTTGTTTGTTTCTTGTGTATTTATTCGTAATCTTATTTTAATTTGATGAATTATTTAAAAGTTATGGTTCTTCACGTGAAACTATCTTATAGGTCCGTGGCTTCTGCCTGGGTGGCCTACCCCCTGAACTCGATGATTGACGTCATGAATATGAAGAATGCAATCAGGTATAAGTAGTCTTAAGGCTATTGTAGAGATAAATAAATCATATTATGTAATTTTGATGTTTTAAATTCAGTAAAAAACGTTCAACAGTATAAACTGAATTGAAGTTAACAGAAAATATTATGTCTAATATCTTATTCAATTCATCGCTTTCTGGGAATTTCACCCTTCATTAGTTAACCCTAGACAGCCAGGCATGGCCAGGTGGACCTTAGGGCGTTTGACTCGCAATGTGAGGGTCGCGGGTTTGAATCCTCATCCCACCAAATATGCTCGCCCTTTCGTGCGTGGGGGCGTTATAATGTGGGGGTCAATCCCACTATTCGTCGGTAAAAGAGTAGCCCAAGGTTTGGCGGTGGATGATGATCACTAGCTGCCTTCCCTCTAGTATTTCACTACTAAATTAGGGACGGCTAACGCAG